GTACAGCAGTACTGTTCTCTTACAAGGTCCAAAAGATTTTTTCTCAGTTCTAAAACTATTAGACTTTGTGAAGGCAAAGCTTGATTTTTTTTAAAGACTCAACTCCCAGCGCTCAGCAGACCCTTCAAGGGCTCAGCACACTTAGAAAAAAACATTTAAAGCAAATTAGAAGCAATATCTATGCAGAAGATCAGCTGCTGCAGAATACAGGAATCCAGCCTTGTCTGTATGTGAGCCTTCAAAGTTTAAATCCTAGGTGTCTTTCTTCCATCCTTTCATGTAATGAAGTTTTTGCTATCCTTTTACCTGGCTGGAATACAGAAAGCATTTGTCCTGTGTTTATAAAGCCCTCTTGTTTGGTTGGAGACTGTATTTATTGTAGATCCATGTATTTTTTTAAAGGTATAATGGGTATGTGTTGCCTGACAGGAAGGATATAAATACCTTCTCAGATTGTTGCAGCCATATTTATATATTGACTTCCTTTCTTCAGCTGCTGAGTAAGTGGATAGTTGAATGATTACTATATATTACTAAACACTTTGACCCCCATAGCAATAAGAAAAAGCTTTTTTGGGGTTAAGCATTTAAAAAGGAACATTTTAAGAGAAAAGAATCTGCCTTTTAGTTGAATATTTTTGGATGGATGACAACATGATTCAAACACTAAAGATTTATAAAATACTTTAAAAAGAAAAACAACCACAACAACTTGTGACAAAAAATGCAGCAGAGAGAGAGGGAGAACTTTGTTGTCCTGCTTTTTTCTTTTTCTCTCTTTGTTCTATTGCATTAAATAAATATACAGTGGGGCAAAAAAGTATTTAGTCAGCCACCAATTGTGCAAGTTCTCCCACTTAAAAAGATGAGAGAGGCCTGTAATTTTCATCATAGGTATACCTCAACTATGAGAGACAAAATGGGGAAAAAAATCCAGAAAATCACATTGTCTGATTTTTAAAGAATTTATTTGCAAATCATGGTGGAAAATAAGTATTTGGTCAATATCAAAAGTTCATCTCAATACTTCTGTAATTTTCATCATAGGTATACCTCAACTATGAGAGACAAAATGGGGAAAAAAATCCAGAAAATCACATTGTCTGATTTTTAAAGAATTTATTTGCAAATCATGGTGGAAAATAAGTATTTGGTCAATATCAAAAGTTCATCTCAATACTTCTGTAATTTTCATCATAGGTATACCTCAACTATGAGAGACAAAATGGGGAAAAAAATCCAGAAAATCACATTGTCTGATTTTTAAAGAATTTATTTGCAAATCATGGTGGAAAATAAGTATTTGGTCAATATCAAAAGTTCATCTCAATACTTCTGTAATTTTCATCATAGGTATACCTCAACTATGAGAGACAAAATGGGGAAAAAAATCCAGAAAATCACATTGTCTGATTTTTAAAGAATTTATTTGCAAATCATGGTGGAAAATAAGTATTTGGTCAATATCAAAAGTTCATCTCAATACTTCTGTAATTTTCATCATAGGTATACCTCAACTATGAGAGACAAAATGGGGAAAAAAATCCAGAAAATCACATTGTCTGATTTTTAAAGAATTTATTTGCAAATCATGGTGGAAAATAAGTATTTGGTCAATATCAAAAGTTCATCTCAATACTTCTGTAATTTTCATCATAGGTATACCTCAACTATGAGAGACAAAATGGGGAAAAAAATCCAGAAAATCACATTGTCTGATTTTTAAAGAATTTATTTGCAAATCATGGTGGAAAATAAGTATTTGGTCAATATCAAAAGTTCATCTCAATACTTCTGTAATTTTCATCATAGGTATACCTCAACTATGAGAGACAAAATGGGGAAAAAAATCCAGAAAATCACATTGTCTGATTTTTAAAGAATTTATTTGCAAATCATGGTGGAAAATAAGTATTTGGTCAATATCAAAAGTTCATCTCAATACTTAAATTACAGGCCTCTCTCATCTTTTTAAGTGGGAGAACTTGCACAATTGGTGGCTGACTAAATACTTTTTTGCCCCACTGTAGAGGAATGGATGTGTATATGTAAAAAGAATAACAATATGCTTTTAATAAATAAGGGATTATTAAATAATAAAAGTAACAAAAATAACAAATATATGCTATCATGAAGATAAAATTCACTGTAACAGTATAAAGCACCATTTAAAACAAAACTGAATATGAACGCTTTAAGAATCTTTAGTATGTCAGTCCACCACTGTTTTTACATCAAACTTGTTTACTAAATCTCAGGTTCTATTAAACAACAAAGTAGATTCATAAAGTTGTGATTCTTTTTGCAAGACAGAACTTTTTTCTCTTCTCTCACTCTTTCTCTCTCTGAGGAAGAGAAAATGTTCTGTATTTCCATTCCATCACCACATTTTGCCAAATCCAATCTCTGAATCTACCAGTCTCAGATTGCTCCATATTACTGTCAAAAAGGAATCAATGTGAATTCTGTATTGCAAGCTCACCCCCCCCATCACAAAATCACCTTTGTAAATGCTCGCTTGTATTTCTAAATGCACGAAATGCTTCTTTATTTACGTTTGGGTTCATAGTGGAACAACGAGAGGAGGACAGAATAAGGGATTCTCGGGTCTGTTCGCTTCCTGTACCCACAGGATTTTGTCAAACAAACCGTCATTTTCCGCTTTGCTATCCTTTTTATTGCATTTCATCAGGAATTTGGCTTCTGGGTTCTGACTTCAGAAGTAGCCGCAGGGGAATACTTCCGTCTGGCAGAGTAAGGGACGGATTGAGACGATGCTGCCATTTTGGGGGGGTCTGCAAGAAAAGACAGCAGTGAGGTCCATCAGGGCCATCCAGATCCTAATGCAGCTTTACCCCACCTGGTGCTCTTCTGCAATTCCCGGCAGTCCCAACCCTTTTCTCCAAGGAGATTTTGCCAGCAGACTGAGCTGGCCGCCGGGAGAGGGGGCATCTGTCTCTCACCTGCTTGGCACATCAGGTTCTTGTAAGCCGACACAGGCTCTCCCAGATCCTTGTGGCGCAGGAATGCTGCTATTTTCCGAGCCACATAACCGCAGGCTGAATTGGAAAGGGAGGAAAAAAATCAGGAATGTTCTTACAAGACCTGGAGCATCCGGGCATCCCTGTACAGCTGTTCAGAGGAGTCTGACTTCTGGATGCTGTTTGGGTTAAACCTCTTCCCATTCCTGCTAGCCTCGGAGATTGGTCTTCCCAGCTTTCTGCTTTCACCAACCAGACTCCCCTACTCCCACCCCCCACCCCAAAACCCAAAAGTGCTGGCTCGCTTGCTTTCTTTTCCTTTCTCCAGCGCTGTACCTACCACTAAATATGAGTCACACCATCTTCTTGAAGAAATGGGGCCAGTCAGCCTGGAAAGCTCCACTTTGTGCGGCAGAAATGGCTTTTGTGGGAGGGAGGGAGGGAAGGAAGGAAGGGGGGAAGCAGCTGTGAAGGGTGGAGAGGAGCATTGTGGGAGATGTAGTTTTATTATCCCTGCATCCTTCAGGTCCAGAGGTGGCACACTTAGCCCGTTGCAGGAAGCAGTCCACCCAGCCTGGTGCTGCTGTCTCTAATAATATCATGATGTTCTTAAGTACAAGAAGACTTGACCTCATCTACAAGGTTTTAGTTTTGCTCCTTCCTGGAATTCATTCCGTTGCACCCCAGTTTAAGTCTGGAAAAAAAATCTGTTAGGAATTTCTACAGATCTTTCTCTCTAGCTGTGTGGTGTGTGTGTGTGTGTGTGCGTATTTATGCCGTATTTCTGGATTTCTTTTTTTCCCTCCATCCAGTCCAGGATGCTCCAAAGCGGTCATTATCGACCCCCAAGGGTCAATGGGACTATCCATTATTGTTAGTAGCAGTAGTAGTATTCAGAATGGAGCCAATTGTAACAAAAATTGACTTAAATACACAATGATTCGAGTTAAATACACAATGGTTCAAGTTAATTACCCAATACTACTTACATGGTATTATACAATAATACTGTTCTGGCTTACATACAAATTTGACTTAAGGATAGACCTTGGGAACGGAACTTGTTGTTAAACTGGGGACTCCCTGTAAGTTAAAGTAGCATTTATTACATTATTTTCATATAATGCTTGGGGGTTGATGAACAATCTGAAACTTCATGAAGGGGTTGTTGAGCTGAAAAGTTTTGGGACCCCGGATCTAGTCTTAGTATTCTCTGCCAGGAAGCATACATACTACATAGAACAAGATAAGCCAACCAAGTGCCTTCTCCATTCCCTACAACCATCATGCAAACTTTAAACGGTGATCTGAGATTCATCTCAAGCTGAAATGTCCTCCAAACCTGGATGGCTTGCTGTTTCCAGTTAGCACAAATGTGAATATGGAATCACCAGTGAACCTTGGGTTCATGCTAACCAGAAATGGGAGGACATACCAAGTTTGGATGAGAAATGCTTAATTCAAGGGAAATCGTGGGGCATGGTTGAAGGGATGCATGGCGTAGGAGAGTGCAATCAGTATCGGAGATGGAAGGGACCTCGGAAGTGATCTCCTCCAACCTCCTGTTTGGTGCAGGATCTGCTAAAGCATTTGGAACAGATGTTTAAAAGCCTCCAGTGGAGGTGAATATACCAACTCAGGAGGCAACCTGTGCCTTTGGTTGACAGGTCTTACTGTCAGGAAATTATTCCTAGTATTTATCCTGATTCTCCTTCCCTGTGGTTCCAACCCACATTCTCATCCTACCCTCTGAGGCCAGAGAAGGCAAATTTACTCCCTCCTTTATATGACAGCAAGTCTTCAAATATTTGAAGGCTGCTTTGTCACACAGTCTTCCATGTGAAACCCAGTCAGTTTATTTCTGTGAACTGCACTTCTGTTCCTGTTAATACATCCCAAAATAGCATTTACCTTTTTGGCAACTGCATTACACTGTTGGCTCATGTTCAGCTTGTGATCTATTAGAACATCCAGATCTTTTACGCATGTGCAGCTGAAAAGCCAGCAACTGCAATCCTATACCTTTCATTATTTCTTTTCTCTCCAGGTACAAGGCTGTTAAAATGTCACCCTGTTCACTACAGCTCTCCGTTCAGACCTGTATAAATCTTTTTGAATCTTCTTTTTGTCTTCTAAAGTGTTAGCAAATCTACACCAGAGTGCATTCATTTCTCTAGCTTGGAGACTCGATAGGTGTATAAAAATGCCAAATCCAGCCCAAACATCTGGCTGACTGTGTGGCCAACAATAATAATATAATTTATTGATCTTTTGATAGAGAAAATACATGTGCATTCTCTCTTTCACACACACACACACACACACACACGCTCCTTTCTCTCATGAATGGGGAAGGGGACATGGTACTGTGGTGTTTGGTGTGAGTTGAGCTGTTAAGGCTTGTTTGCTAGATTTTTAATCTCCCTTTTGTACAGCATGCTTACAGTTTTCCTATTTTGCCCCACAACAACAATCCTGTGAGGTGAATTGGGCTGAGAGAGGAGTTTGGCTCAGAGTCCCCCAGGGAATATCCCATGGCTTAGCAGGGGACAAGAGCTTGCATGTGAACCTAGTCAGTTCAGACTCAGTCAACAAACCATAGTTGAGGAAACATAATGCCTTAACATAATGTTCGACTCCATTCCCTAAAGCAGTGTTTCTCAACCTCAGCAACTTTAAGATGTGTGGACTTCAACTCCCAGAATTCCCCAGCCCACATGTGGGCTGGGGAATTCTGGGACTTGAAGTCCACACATCTTAAGGTTGCTGGGGTTGAGAAACACTGCCCTAAAGTGTCACAGAAATGCATCTGATCATAGTCTCTTGCTAATTATTCTAAAACTGATTGACATTTGCACTCTTAACATGGAAACCATAGCACATAGGACAAGAAACTCCTGTAAAAATTAAATTTGGAGAAACAGTGTGACTCACAATAAGGAAGGGAATGAGACAGTGATCCACATTGTCTCCATGTGTTTAACGTCCGCAGTGAATCTATTATGGCAGGAACAGAAGAGATCTGATCTCTTGAAATCCCACTGAGTTTGCAACACTCCCAGTCTGAAATGTGCAGATGTGATCACTTTGTTGGCAGAAAGGAGAGAAGGCTTAGAAAAGTGCCTTATGAAAAGGGGAAGAGAAAAAAATGGGGCAACGTCAGCCACTGGACTTAGTGAACTTCAGGTTGATGATGGTGAAGAAGCAAGGATGGACGCTTTGATTTCTGGGGCTCAAGAATAGATAAAGCTAGATGGAGTACTGGAGGAGTAAAGGAATTAATCCTAGGGAGGAAGGAAATGGCAACTTCAGGCAAAATCTTGGATAATAAGTATATTTCTATGGTGACAAAGTTTGGGATAATTCAACCAGTGGGCTTTCCAGTGGCAACGTTTGGCTGTGAAAGCTGGATGTTGAGAAAGAATTAGCAGACGACTCCGGTGAAGTATTGATGGTTACTAAGAGGAGGAGTACTAATTATTTTTATTTTATTTGTGCTTATACCTAAGAGCTGTGCAGGTAAAACAATAAAATATAAATCAATACTACCAGTAAAATAATCAATACAAGACATTTCCTGACACCAACCCAACCATCATATTAAACTGTATTGAACAATGACAAGCACAATTTGTCTGGCTTTGTAAAAGGCCTGTTGAAAGAAGCATTTTAAGGGCCTTTTTAAATGGAGGAGATTGGAGTCCAGAGGCATTCGAGGAAGAATCAACTCCAGAGGGTGGGAGCTAAACAGGAAAAAGCCACAAAACGGAAGTTGGTCTTTTAACATGAGGAAAAGCTAATATCCTAAATATTCTAAACATCTACAGTATCTCAGTGAAATGCATAATGAGTTGCTATCTCTGATTACTTTAGAAAGGATGAAAGCAGCCTTCAGAGTGTCCAACAGCTGTCAGCTAAGCTCTGGGAAGGGTATGTTCTGAAAGGTGGCACAAAGACTTTAAATAATTTCACCTAGAGGTAGATATGGTACATTTAATCAATAAAAATGAAATATGCATTTCAGGATATATTTTAATTATTTTTAATTTTAGCAAGAGGCTCTCCGACCCCATACAAAATAAAGTAAGACTAATTAATCATCAACCTGTTTGGGTGATGCAGTATATTTACTTGAATATATTTATAAACATATATGTGTGTGTGTGCCTGCATGTGTGTTCAGAAATATACATATATATAAGTATGAAATATAAATATATATACACAGGTGCACGCATACACACAAACAAGAGCACTGTGGATAGTAAGAAGAGTCAATCAGTTAATCCTGGATGAAATAAAGACTGATGGTTCTCTCAAGACAATGATCAGGAAACTGAAACTCCTATACTTTGCAGGCGTAATGTGAGTAGATAAGGGACTAGAAAAATTGCTGTGCTTGTCAGGGCTGAGTAAAAGAAAAGGACAATCAATAAAATGGATAGATGAGAAGAGATAGCTGGAATGTCCTTGGAAGAGTTCAGATTATCAGATTACAGATTATTTTCAACAGATGGATTGAAACTGTAAAGAAGCTCCTTGTTCAGACCACAAGTCAGGCCCAACCCTTAACTTCTTACTTACCAACCAATCAACCGACCAACTACTTAAGCCCTGTTACCTTCATTGGACCTTGCTCCTGGATAAGGATGCTCCAGAACTTCAGCTTTATATCACAAAATGATGGAAATCTCAGGGACCTTTTGAGCTCATCTTTCAAAACCATGCCCTCTTAAAAGTCATGGCTAAATCTCAGTTGCTGGACCTCCTTCGTCAGAAGCTCCCTAGTGAGCTTTCAAGATCAAGAGAAGACCATAAATGGTGGAGGAATCTCCAAACTTATAATGGGGGTGGGGTGATCAGAAAGGGTTTCCCTACTTCTCCAGGTTTGTTTGTTTTTTTCCCTGTCTGCCTCTATCCTGGCTTCTTTTGAGGGACGGTCTCAACATACAATAGTCACTAAGACAGGTGGTTGCTGAGGAAATGACGTTACAAGAAGAAAGAAGGGGGGATGGTGGGATGAAATTAGAGGATGTAACTGAGCCAGAAGCTAAATTGCACCCCCATCTCTCGTCACAGCAGTCTTTTCCATCCTGCACTAAGAATGGGGACTCAGCAAGAAGCGTAAGAGAAAGGAGATGTGACGGTAAATCTTAACGGGGGGGGGGGTTAGGGGATATTGGACTTTCACACACTCAGTACCTTTGGCGCAGGAATGATCTGTTGGAAAAGCACATGCGAGGGAAGTAGATGGAGGATTGATGGAGACCCTCTGTTCTGTTACTGGGTGTGTAAGATGCGTGTGTGTGTGTGGTGTAGAAAAGACAGAGAAAATAAGCTAAAAATTAGCTACTAAATACAAGTGTTATGAAACTACTAGGGAATGTACTGTGATATTGTTAAAGGAGGATGAGTTTTCTGTTTGCCTGGGAGAAATTGCAGCAAATGTCAACAGATACTGCACAGACAAATACTAGTAATGAAAGGACGAGGGCAAACAGGGAACAGGATTTCTTTATCCTCGTTAGTTTTTTTTTCCCCTTCCTATAATCCATTCTTAGGCTTCCTCATCTTTGTTTTTCGTCATAACCAATGTTATGATTTAAGCTGCTGTTATTCCTGTTTTACAGGTATGGAAATGAATGGCAGGGATTGTTTTATTGTTTTGAGATCACAGAGTGAAACTTGACCTTAAAGTGGGATTTGGAGAAAAAAGCAACTGGGTTTGCATCCACCCCTCTAGCCACCAAATTGCTTTGATTTGATTCTCACAGTACACTGAATTATCCTGTGATTTGTTTGGTTCTGGTGTAATTGTAAATCCAACTGTGGCCATTCGTGAACCATGCTTTGTGGCTTAGTATGTTTTACAAATCCGGTCAGTTGGTTTATTCAACAAAACCTGGTTTAGTACAATACCCAGGGCTGAGTCACAGAAGGATCGAGGTTGTTTGCAGGGAATACAACTTCTGTATGTCAACTCTTCAGTTGTTGAATATCTTTCCATGGCCTTCTTAGCAGTTCTTGGCTAAGAACTGGAGTTCTTAGTTCTGCTGAAGTTGGAGTTCAACATTAGAATAACTCCCCTTCTCTCTCTTGGTGGGACCCAGGACTTTCTCGTCACTGGACTCGGAACCTCAGGTTGGAGGAGAAAGGGATGGCAAGTTCAGAGTTGGGTTGTCCGAAGAGCCAGACTGCTGGAGAACGGGAAGAGGGCAAGAAGCCAGACCAGAGATCCTCCAGCTGTGACAAAAACATCCAAGATGCATCCCTTGGAAATGGAAAAAAGGACCTTGGGGACAAGGTAAAAGAGAACCAGCCCCCTCCCATCCAGT